AGTCTGGGCGCGGCGAGCCAAGCGAGGCAGGTCTGAACAGCGCGGTGGGTCGGCAGCGGGGAACCCCGGGCTGCGGGCTGCCAGGCTGTGGGGATTCGGGAAGGCAGTGACTCCGGCGCTGGGGGTGGGCAGGGGGGGACGAGCGCAGTTGATCGTGGTGGAGTGCGATCTGTTGTGCTGTGCGTGCTGGTGGTGACAACGCGGTGGCTGTGGGAGGCTGGTGGCGAGTCGTGGCGCGATTGGCCCCGTGGAGCCCTCTGGGATCTCTCATGGAGGTGCAGGGGCGAAGGGAACCTGGCCTTTCGGGGGAATGAATGAAGAACTGTGGAAGCGCCTTCCGACTCGGGCTGAGGGATTGGCCGCCGTGCGCGCGCGTGTGTGCGTGTTTAGGATTCGGAGCCGCCTGGGTACTGGGCACCGCTGATTGTCTGTTGGCGTTCCGCGTGCCCACGTTGTCCGCCTGTCCTCTGGCCCTGGGCATTCGGCACGGCTGAGCGGAGGGTGTAGAAACAGAAGGCTGGGGCTCTGTTGCAAGCTGCTGGCCGTGGCTGGACATCGGCGGCGGCTGGAGAAAGGTTCACGAAGGAGGTGGCAAGGCTGGGGCTGGAAGAGCTTCTCCGGGAGGGCCGGGAGTGGGAGCTTCCCAGGTATCCCGGCGGGCGGAGACGCTGTGACCCCTGGCTCCTTTGCCATGTCCACGTTCGTAACGTTAATGACTTGGAGTTTCCAGGAATTAAGTTGTATCGCTGGGAAGCCCTCGACCAGTACTCAGAGAGGTTGAGTGGGGGCTTGCGGTCTCCCCCTCCCCCATCCACTGCAGTTCCTTAAAGACTCGGGATGCCTTGCAGGATTAAAGTTGTCACTCAGAAAGGGGATCTGAGAGCATCTGCACTCCCAGAAGTTGCCTAGGAGAAAACCCAGCCTAGATATTTGGCCAAAGTTTCTCTTGGGTCCTGACACACCATCCTGTCATCTAGAGCTTTTCTACCACCCCAACCCGGAACATTGCAAAATCAGGATCCCCTCCTTCCAGAATATGACATTTATTGATTTTACAAATCGTGCTTTGAACCAGAATGTCTTGATTGATACATAAACACATCATACACGATTTTGTTCACATGGCGTGGAAATAAAATTGTCTTTTAATTAGTTTATGTCAAACAGTTTTTTCTCCACCAAAGCTCAGGAAAGGCGAGGAGGAAGATTATTTTTCTACGACTGCCTGGATGGGTAAACTGAGTCAGGAAGTGAAGTGGCTCTTGTAGAGCAAAAGTGAGGAGGAAATGGAGCTGCAAGGCCAGATTTCTCTTCCAGCCTAGCTCCCCGGAAGCTCCCTCAGGGGCCCTCTGACGGAAATCCAGCAGTGCCTTGTGTCTATGTCCCTGTGAACGTGCATGCATGACAGCAGTTTGGGGGTCATGTGGAAGTGTGTGGCATTAAGTTCCCTACGATTTTGTGTAGATCTGCTTTGCTTTTTTTTTTTTCCATTGGTGACTAAAGCATAAGATGACTGGACCTCTGTCCTCACCCAGGATTCAGCATCATCTCGGTGGCTGCTGTGAGGGCTGCTGCCTCCTTTCATACTTTTCTCTCCGCTTGTCCCTGCTTCCGAACCTGGCCTGCAAAGCTGAGTGTCGGAAGAGGCACTTGCTTTTTCCTGTGCTGGAAGGGACAAATAACCCCAAGTTAACTACAGGAGCCTGGGAGGTTTGAACCTGCATGACAGGAAGCTGTAGACTAGTGCTGGGCTGGGAAGTGCCCTGCTGGCATTGGGAGCTGGGGGGAGAGGGAGAATGGAGGCGGGGTCTGACTACAACAGGGAGCAGCCTCCTCTTGGCGCTAGCCAGTTGGGAATAAACAAAGTTGACTGGTCTGGTTAATTCTCAAGCCTGGGTATTGCAATATGGCTCAAATTGGAGAAACAGGGTAGCGGACTGGACTCCCTTCCAGGAGTCAGAAGCTCAATATTTGGCCCTGTATTTTTGTATTGAAGAGGGTGTCGCATTGTCAGGCGGATGTGATCCTCTCAGAATCACCCCCTCTGTGGCCAAAGGACTAAGAATTGGTGGCTGCCTATTGGGCCTATGGCTGAATGGAGCTTGAAATGAGGCCTGTTGAGGTTTCTTCAAATGCCTGTGTGTCATGCCTTTGGTAGCTAATTAATGAGCCCCACTGCATGCACAGTGAGACTCTACATAAAATTTCTCATACAGTTTTATTCAACAGGTAGATTGCACAATTGAGCCTTTGGGGAGATAGGATTATACAGGGTCCCATCTTTCATAGGAGGGGCAAACATGCCATTATCAGACAGACTCTTGATCTCTAAGGTGTGGTTAGACCTAGGGAGGAGGGGAAACAAGACCAAATAAGGTACAGGAGAGGTGTGGATTGAGGAGCTTTCTTTTCTAGTTGTGGAAATTGAGGATCAGAGCAGTGGAGTAACTTGTTGAAAGTAACACAACCGTTAAGTGCAAAGTTAGCCCTAGATTGTTGTAGGCTGGCTCCTTCACTACCTCTGTGCTGGGCTGGAATCGTAACAAACTCCTAGATGAATGGACTGTCCGTGCAGTTGGAGGCTCACACGTTTCCTGTCTACATGTCCTGATCCTGTCTCCCTCCCTGTGGCCTCAGCAGACCCAGGATTTCAGAGATGTCTTTTGAAGCCCCTTTGTACGAGAGAGGGGAGTTGTTACCAATTCTAAAAGGAGGAACTATTTTAAAAAATCATAACTGGCTTGGGAGTGCTGTTCATTCCAGCAATCAGAGGACATGTTTTCAGCAGCATGTGATTTAGAAGTGACTCAATCATTGGGAAGAATAATGCAACCTACCCCCTCTTTTGGTCTATAAATTGGTAAGTTCAGGTATGATATTAAGTTACTTCAAAGTGTAGCTTTATTCCTGGGCTGTGAATAAAAAGATTTTATTTGCACTTAGCTGACTAAGCATTGGGAGACTGACTGCTCTAACTTGCACAATGTATTTCTTCATTGTTTCCAAGTATTAGGATCTGATTTCTCACTGAGATCGCTTCTCCTTTAAAATAAAGCACCAATACAAAATGATGTCTGTGTAGACCTGTGTCTCCGCAGCACGAGATACCATTTACTAAGTATACTCAAGTTAAATATCCAGAGAGAAAAATAAAGGTTTTATGCTAATTTGGCCAATGTAGACTTTTTAAAATATGAAAGTAGAGGAAGGAGTTGATCATTGTAGTTGCATTTACAAGATCACAGGTGGCCCTCTGCAGACAGATGTGTTCCTCTGCCTCTTCCAGATGTTTGGGAGGCTGCTGGAGACCACACAACCTGAGATTTTGGTCATCCAGTTGTGCAGAGAAGGGAGCAAGGACTGAGAATGGAGGAAGGAGAGGATAGTGGTAGAGGTGGTGGCGGTGGGGAGAATAACAGTCGGGGCTCCAGAAGGAGAAAGCAGGTGTGAATCAGCAAGTGGTTAAATTGGGGGAGGTGGCGAGTGGGAAGCTGTTTCTCATTTTTGCAGTATTGGAGGGATGTGGAAGGAAGGGGACTCGCATCTCAGTCATCTGCAGCAGCTATCTGCAGCATTTGTGCATTCTGCTAGGCACAGCTCTGGTCAGGTGCATGGGGGCA